AGTCTCCCGTGTACCTTGAAGTAACTGTACATGCCTCTTCCGTTAGCTCTGTGGCTAGTCACTTATTGACTCATTCATCTTGGCACATTCAGGTCCCAAATACAAATGGAAACCACCAAGAGTCAATCTGCTTTGTAGCACTTGTCATGGAGAGTGTATGTTTCATATTGTTGTTTTATTATACTGTTTTATTAGATACACGTTTTATAAGATGAAGCACAAACCAAAGACAATGGCCCTTAATGACAGCTCAGCTGTTTAAAACGCCACCACATAGACTACAAAGCCATCTTTTATCCTCTTTTGTGCAAACAGAGACAATTCCATGGAGGTCAAGGAATTTGGACTTGCTTAGGACACAGCTGAACCATACTGTCTATTTACACGTGCATTATGTTCATCAGGGCTTTCAGAGTGTTTATTTCAGAGAGTTCTTGAAGCAGTGCAAGATGAGAACACAACTCTTGAAATTACTTATTAGACAATGAAGAGTATTAAGGTTGTGCTGAGGCACAGCTCCAGCTTCTCAGTGTATATTACAGAGCTCTCCCTGCTGAAAACATGCAGCTGAGCATACTGTTTGGCAAGAGGAAAAAACCCTTCTTGAGTTTTTAGCTTTATACTTTAACACCCTTTTGGAACACACTGAGATGCTAGAGCAGGGCTCAGACTGGGGGATTCTGGTTCACCCACCAGCTCAATATCTCATTTCCCCCTTCACAGGAAAACATTCAGCCCTGCGAAAGCGCCTGCAACTCTCTGGGGTACAGCAGTAATGAGGCAGCAGGAACAGCGGTACCTGCTCTGTGCAGCTCCACTTCCCATCCTGCCTGAACTCCGGAGAGTACCAAAAATGCAGCGTCACCACAAGGCTCCTGGCTGACAGCCTGCCAGTGCTCAAGGCAGATGTCACAACAACTGCTTCATTCTGCTTCTTGTACAGGGAGGGGAAAGGGGGAAACTCATTTATCAGGCAGGCAAGAAGAATTAGCTTTTAGAAGACAAGCTGATAAAAGGAGAGAAAAACCAGAGTCAGTTGCTGGCACAAGAGCCCTTCTTCAGGTCTGAAGCAGGGGTGCCACTGCTGTGCTAAATAACAGAATTGGATATAGGATACTACTATATGACTGCAGCACAACAAACTTACCCTCAACAGTACCAGCGTGCCTGGAAGTAACTTTAATGATTAGCTAATCACTTGACAGTGCAGCAGGGTCATTCCAGCACTATTCCAGTCATCTCTAAAAGCAATCAACTTATTCTTTAATGGCTCCAATGAAGAAGATAACGTTTACTTCCATGTGGTCAATGCTATTGCTTAATCTCCTTCTCCATTAGGTATTTTCTTTCAATGTCTAACTAAATCTCCCTGCTGTAGTTCCAGCGGAGAAAAACAAAAACAAAACTGTGTCAGAGAACTCAAAGATGTAGAGAGGCAATTGGGATCGATAATAAAGAAGGGGTCAGAAAAATAACTGGCTTGATCTGAGAAGACCTGCAATCATTCAGCCTATGGGGAATAAAGGGAATAGGTTGAGAAGTGCTAGGTTAGCAAGTCCACATGTTGTATGGCAAAAAGATTCAGCAGAAATTAAGATTATGGAGAAAAAAGTGAGCACAGCACTGACCCTTCAAGACAACAAAATCTGAATCACTGGCAGCAGAAGTCAGAAGGGAGGAGCATCAATCTGTGACTCACTATATGGAGGCAGTGTCCAAGATATGCCCTCCCACCCCTTCCTGAATGGTCCTTTCTCTTGAGACCCCAAGCCTTGATGTAGCTACTCAGAGCCGGACCCAGAAGTACCTCACCAGGACATGCAATAACTACTGTTCCTCTCCAGCAGAGCCATTACCCACACAGGTTGAAGGTCTGCTTTGAGCTCACAGAAACATTGTTGGGAGCAGCCATCTGCAACGCCACACCCCACTGTCAGATTACAGCTGATGCAACCCATGCTGGGCGCAGCTCCTTCTGGAGCTCTGCTCCTGCAGGATTCGGAGCGGGATCCACGCCATGGGTGCCAACACTCTCTTACTGTGACCAGCGAAGGTTGGAGGTGGCTGGTGCTGGGGTCACTGGGCCGTGATAGGGCGCTGGCTGCAGGGCATCGCCTCCAGCCCGGTCCCTCAGGGAGGGAGGGGGCAGCGCGGCCCAAACCGGGCCCACCAGCCCTCATTGTCCCCCGCCACAAGGCGGAGCCGCTCGGCCGGGATGCAGCCACGCCTGACGGGCAGCCCGGGCTGCCAATGAGCACAGGTACCGGGCAGGTAACGCCGGGCTGCCCCCCTCCCGCCCGCTGACTGACAGCGCCACAGCCAATGGGGCCGCCGCGCCCCGCCACCACACACCTCGGCGGCGGCGGGGGCTGCTCCCCACCGGCGCGGGGCAGCGGCCCTCCGACGGGTGACGGGCACACACCTCAGCCAATCGCGGTGCGCCGAGCCCCGGCGCCCCGCCCCGGCGGCTGCCTGCGTACGGCGCTGTACGAAGGCCTGAGGCGGCGGCCAGGCCGGCGGGAGAAGGAGGGGGGGGAGTAATGGTGGTGGCGGCGGGCGGGGCGCGGCCATCCCCGATGACAAAGGGATTGCTCCCCGCGGTCCCTTCCCGCCCTCCCCGCTCCCGGGGCGCCTGGCCGCCCGCACTCACGTTGTCTATCACGACGGGCTGGTTCGCTATCACGTCGTAGGATTCCATGGCGAGGACCCGCCGCAGCCGCCCGTCAGGGAGCAACAGCCCAGCCCTCGGCGGCGCACGCGCGGAACGGCGGCGCGGGGCCGCCTGGGCGATGTATTCCTGCGGCGGCGGTGCCGCTGGGAAGTGTAGTCCGGGGCCTGCGCGGCGCCCGACGGGAAGGAGCGGGAATGCCGGGAGGTGTAGTGCGGGACAACGGGGAGAGGAATGGGGCTTTCGGCGTGAGGCCCGAGCGCTGTGTGCAGGGGGAGCCGTGCACCTCTACCAAATCCCACTGCATTCCAGATGCATGATTTACAGTTTAATGGATTGAGATTTACCCTAAATTTTCTGATGGGAATTGAGAGAAACCGATCCCACCACCTTCTGACAAGGGAATTTATGCTAATGGCAGCACTTTGCTGTCCCATCATTTCATGGGGTTATCTCTACAAACTGCTGGTCATGACACATCTGTTACCTCCAAGCATCTCCTCGTTTCTGTACTTTTTGAGGCACGGCAACCAGAAATGAAGCAACAGCACACCATCACACAAGAGGCGTTGTGGTACTAAACAATGTGTTACCTGTTGGTTTCCATTTGCTGCATGTAAAGCAGCAATGGGAAGCTGTCTAGATGACTTGCCCAGAGAAGCTGTGGCTGCCCCATCCCTGGTAGTGTCCAAGGCCAGGTTGGACAGGGCTTGGAGCAACCCTGTCTAGTGGAAGGTGTCCCTGCCTGTGGCAGGGGGTTAGAACTCCATGAGCTTTAAGGTGCCTTCCAACCCAAACTTGTGTTCTAAAAGTACTTTGAATAATCAGTGACTGACAAAGACACTCAAATGACATGTTCACTCAAAACTGAGCAAGACACTGGGTCTTGAAACCAGTTAAAGTGAACGTCAGCACTGTAAGTGCACGTGGAAGCCGATTCAGAACCCATCTCCCTCTTCCTGTATCTTTCCTATGGACACTGGGGCTTTTCTACAGTTTCTGCTTTAGCCCAAGCAGACAATCTCACCTCAGGTATTTATCTTTGTGATTCCCACATAGTGTAAAAAGCTTTTTATAGATAGCCAGGACGGAGGAGTTTAAATTATTTCAAGACTAGCATTGTATCACCTCAGTAAATGCCAGGAGAAACTCACGATGTCCTTATTAAACCCACACAGCATTTCACACATAATTCTGTTTTATTTACCTTCTCAGCTGATGGTAATTGACTTCTCAGGCAGATGTCACAAGAAGTAGTATCACAGTAACGGGATAAGTGAAATACTGTTCACTGGGGGAAGCAGTGATTCACAAGGATACCAGCTGCTTACCTCCTTTCTTAGCAGATAGTCATTTGTCTGCTTGCCACCTTATTGACTATATGCAATCCCCTAAAAGGTACGTTGTGACTATTAGAATGAGCTCTCAGCTATTTAACTGAGAAATACAACAAAGCAGGAGCACTCATCCTATCATCTCAGCACTCTGTGGTTCATTTTTCTCTATGAGGATTAAAAAGCAGGATGCTGCTCTAGCAAAGAGGAGCAGGACTATTGAGCACATGTCAGCTCACGCATACATACAAGGCTCTGCAGGATCACAGATGTAGCTGCAACTCAGGAATGCGTCAGATCTTCAGTGTTATTACACCGGCCAAGATCCTTGATCAGACAGCTGCCTCCGAGGGACCTGCAGATACAGAAGGGTATAGGGAGAGAAAAATGCACTGTGGGGACTGGAGGTGTAATGGTAGCGTAACAAAAGCTGTAAGAGCAGCAGTAAATAAGGCTGCTAGGTGGCCTCCTCTCAGAGCTCAGCCCTGGTCCCACACCCCACAGAGAGCAGTGCTAAGCTTCACTCCAGCTGTGTCCCAGGCCATGCTGCACAGAGAGATGGCGTCCAGCAGAAGCAGCTCCTGAACCGCTGCAATTCACACCCTCACTGCACACCGAAGGCGGGATGGCTGCAGCCAGAGGGCTGCCCTGATGTAACCCGGGCCGAGACAGGGCCGGGACCCTGCTCCCCTCACCGCGCCCGGCCGCCGCGTTCCCCCCGGCATCACACGGGGTCCCTCGTCCCGCTCCACGCGGTGCACCGCTGCCGCCGCTAGAGGGCGCGCTGGCGGCGTGGCGTGGAAGGAGGGGGAAGAGGCGCGGCCGACCTCCGCGCCGCGCCCCGCCATTGGTGGAGCTGCCCCGTCAGTCACCGTCTCTAGGGCAGCGGGTCCCGCCCTCTCCTCCCGCAGCGCCGTGCCGCGCCGCCCCGCGCAGCGCCGCTTGGGCCGGGTCGGGCCGGGTGCACGTCGGAGCGGGAGCGAGTTGAACCGAGCAGAGTCGAGCAGGCCGTGACCAGCCGCTGCCGCCGCTGCGCCGTCCCCGGGACATGGAGGGCGTGCGGCCTGGCGGGGGTCCCCCCGCGGGCGGCCCCGGTTCAGCCTCGGGGTCCGGGTCTGGCTCCTTCCCGTCGCTGTTCCCGCCGGGGCTGCACGGTATCTACGGCGAGTGCCGCCGCCTTTACCCCGACCAGCCCAACCCGCTCCAGGTCACCGCCATCCTCAAGTACTGGTGAGGCGGCCGGAGCTGCGGCCTGGAGGGGGCCAGGGGCCTTGTGTGGGGCTGTAGGGGGAAGCAGTGGGGCTTGAGGCCTTGTGTGGGTCTCTGGGGAGCGGTGAGGCTGGGTCCCTGTGTGGGGTTGGAGAGGGTTTGGGGGTCGGTAGAGGCATGGAGGGAGCCATGGGGCTAGGGACGCTGCATGGGGTGGAGGGGGGTGAGGCTGTGAGCCTGGGGAGGGCTGCAGCAAGAGGAGAGGGACTAGGGGTGATGTGCTGAGTATGGTGTGTGATGGGTCTGGGGGAGGAGGCACTGGGGATACAGTTGGGTGCCTGGGAGGTGTATTTGGGGGGGTGTCCTGGGGAGGGTGCATTGGCAATAGGAGCGAGGGTCTAGGGAGGGATGCACTGGAGACAGCAGGATGCGTTGGGCTTTTGGGGATGATTTGTAGTTTTGCTGAGAGATGGCTGCTGAGGGCCTTGGCTGGGGCAGGTCATGGGAAAAGGGAGTGTGTGTTACTCAGTGGAAGGATTCCCACAGATAGCATGGGGCTGGAGTTTGTCCGCCCGGACAGGAGGCATGAGCTCTGTCTTCTGACCCTGTGCTTGGAGTGCGAGCATGGCCAATGCTGACCAGAAGTGAACCTGCGTTCCAACCTCAAAGCCAGATGTGTGTTGTGCATGTACCCATAAAACCCATGGGGCAGAGCCAGCTTCTCTTGCCCTTGCGCAGCCATGTGCTATCGCAGACTGGGAATCTGCTGCTCACCATCTCTGCTGACACAGTGTCTGACACCAGTAACAGCAGTTGTTTATGTGGGAGAGTGGCATGAAGGAAGTACTTGGATGTTTAGCTATCGAGATAGGTGTCTGGCATCTAGTCCTGTGCAAAGAGCATTTTCTTTTGCTTTCTACCATTGCTGTTCTGCCCAGCCCCCTGTTCTGGGCCTGAGGAACATAATCAGGTCACCCCCGAGCATTTGCTGTGCCTGACATTGGCCAGTCCCTACTCCAGCAGTTGGAAAAAGTTTAGTAAATGCTCAGCTTCTTTATTTACAGTTCACTTCAACCTGTATGTCTCTATCTAAGCAACAGCAGAATAACATCAAGCAATAGAATAAGTCAAGCTCGTGCAGTTGTTTTCCAAATAAGTGTTTTATGTGATTCTGGCAAGAAATATGCCTTTTAGCCCTTATTGCTTAGGGTTTTTTTGACTTTAACAGCGGGATAAGATGTTGTAAATCTGAGACCTCAAAATACTGTTTCTTAATCATCTGTGTGGGTCAGTACTGCAGTACTTTGGTGGTGGGGATCCTATTGCTCTGGGTTTGCACCTGTTTCTAATCCTAGATACTCAAGCTTGATGAGTTTCCCGTCACCTTGATTGGGGAGTCACCACTCTTTTCTTTCAACTGCTTGAAATAATACTGACTAGATTGATGTGAGGTTTGTGTGGCATGGAAGGAGATTTAGGTCTGTAACAAAGAATGGCAGAGATCCTGGTTTGGGAAGAAACCTTGCTGCTTGTTTGCTTAAGGGGTTGGTTAGGGCTTCATTGCACTTAGAGCTTAAACACTAACAAAACTGCAGTTGGCAGTGATGGGCAGCTGCAAGGAAGAAGCAGTGTGGAGGCTGTTTATCCTGGCATTTTCCACTTAGCAGTTTTTCCGACTGGCAGCTCAGCTGGCAGTGAGAGCGAAGAGCTTCACTTGTAGAAATCAGAGGTGAGCTCCTTCCTGCTGTCCTGCACAGGAAATTCTTGTGGGAGGTGGAGCATTCCATGGACCCTGCAGGTACTCTCTCCCCCTTCGTTAGGTGAAATTTGGAGCTTGGTTTTGTTAAGTCTGGTAAAAAGACTTCTGCCCCCCCTTGCTCTCTGTGAGCCTGTTTTCCTCTGCCTGCGCTGCCAGCTATTAGTTGGTTTAGGTTAGAAGAGGAAATTGCTGAGCAAAATTCTCTGCCTTAGGAGAAATATTGTAACACTAATCAGCTTTTAATTATACGTATCAGTTTCTCTATGGTTAACAGCAGTACTTTTTGTTCAGGGAGCTGAAGTTCTATTCTTTGCCTTTGCACAGCAGAGCAGATCCTCACTTTGTAACAGTGGAGGATCTGCAGAAGCATGTACCTGTTAAACGAAGCGGTATAGCTGTGTTGGTTATTTCATGGAACTACTCTTTTTCTAAATGCTATTTGCATATCTTGGGAGAGAGTTTGTGATTGCAATCAGAACTTCTTGGAAGAGTTCCTGGCTGCATTATAAAGGTCGTGCACTGAGGAGGAGTTTCCCTCTGTTGATATCCAGTACCTACTTTTATTTTTAAAACATGGTTGAGTATCTCTAAGTGAAACACTTTCATGCACAGCATTGCTGGTGGAAAAAACCCAAATCTGTACTTTGCTTTGTGATAGGTTTTCAGATACGCAGAGTTTGGGCTGGACAGTTGGTTTTTTCATCAGCTGTCTTGGTTTTAGGCCACGTACTCAAAAACCAGTGTACTGACCTGTGTTGTGCAGCCACTCGGGGATCACAGACTACTTCTGAAGGGCTGTCAAAAGGTAGCTTTGAAAAGCAGTCCTGTTGTCAACTGCAAACAATCCAAGGACTTTCCAGGGTGAATGGACTGGGAATTTTATGGGTTTTTTTTTTCCCCATTGTGGAGCTGTTTCCTCTTTGCCCACTGTGGGTTTCTCCCTCCACCAAAAGTTCAGCGTGCTCTTCACATCAGTCAAAGGAAGGCTGTTGGTGCAGATACAAATACCAGTTTCCCCCGAGGCTGCTCTTCTTGCTCCTGAACGAGCTCTGTGAATAGAAGTGTAACAAATTTGTACTGTACCTCTGGCTTTGAAGTTGGGTTCTTCCTAATAAAATCCTCCAACGCTTCCAGCTCTTTGTGTGAGCGTGTGTACTGATATGTAGATTGTGATACAAGGTCGAACCCTATAACAGTGGCTGTGGGCGGGAGGATGTACCGCAGAGGCATTAGCGCTGCTCGACTAGTTAGCTTAGCTAACTAACCTGCCACTGGGACAGGGTAAAGATACCAATCCCTGTCCTGAAAAAGCGCAGTATAAGGGTTTGTCTTGTGTGTTGTCAGTGTCCAAGTGCCTGTGTCAGCAGCGTGCCAGTGTGAATCGTTTGATATCTAAGACATTATTAAACCCAATTTGGAAGCAGGTTTAATGTGTGTGAGAGATACTAGTTGCTCAGCACGTGGAGGTGTTTTCATTGCAAATCGTACATTAGCAAGCTCTGATTGCTTGCTAATCCCTCACATTGATGTGCTAGTCAGTGTACTGACCTTCCTTGTTCTTGCGTCGTCCCAGTCAGGTAAGGATTGTGTGTGGCTGCTGCTTTTCACTGCCACTCCTTGGGGGTGACTATCCTGGCTGGAGTTGCTGGGGTATTGGCTGGAATTCCACTTGGCTGCTTCTATCGTGGATCAGGGAGTTAATCCCATGGGGAGCCTCAGTGCTGGCCAGGATGTTGGTGCCACGTTCTGAATATAGCCACCTGAAATGGGTGTCTGTGGCAGAGAGCTCAGCCTCCAGTGTGACCTGATGCCAGTGAGATGGAACAGGTGGAGATGGGGTATGTCAGAGGAGGACTTGCTTTTTTCCTCAGTATTTAAAGCTGTTGCTAGACTTTGAGAACAGGTTTTCCCAGGCTGCCATTGAGTGTCAAACTCTGCTCCATCCCAGGGTCTAATTCCCCATGCTTATTCACTAGTTTGCCTTTTACATCATAAAGATATTACTTGTCATGTGAGAAGGTTGCACAGTATGACTTAACTCTTGCCAATGGACCTCTGTGCCATTACTGGGCATGGTATGCTCACTAACTCTGGGCTGCATCCTTGACTAACCCACTGGGAAGCTGGAGCTGGCCCCAAGCCACCCTGGTGGCCTTACGTGACTTCAGAGGAGCTGTCCTGGGGGAAGTCACTCATGTTAGAAAATGCTGCTCTGCTTCTCTTTTTTCCCTGCGGCAGTAGGAGGGAGGCAGCACAGCACAGTTAAGGAGAAAACCCACAAACCTTTTAATGCAGGCTGATGCATTACTTTGTACAGGATTGATAAACTTGGGCAGCAGAAGGTGGGCAGAGGATATCTAATAGTTTGCCACTGTCACAAGAAATCCATGTAGAGTGCATAGGCACTTTCTGTAAGCAAAAGGAAGCCTGTTCTCATGGCCCTTCCTGGCACCATCTTCCCAGCAGGTGATAGTGAGGCACTGGAATAGGTTATCCAGGGAGGTTGTGAATGCTTCATCCCTGGCAGTGTTCAAGGCCAGGTTGGACGAGGCCTTGGCTGATATGGTTTAGAGCGAGGTGTCCCTGCCCATGGCAGGGAGGTTGGAACTTGATGATCTTAAGGTCATTTCCAACCCTAACTATTCTGTGATTCTATGATAAACTCAGTGTGTTCTCTTGCGCATTAACTTTCCTCAGAGCTCGCCCTGGAAAGCATCTTCTTGCAGGTGCTCTACAACATCAGCTTAACCTGGTGCTGGCTGGCCTCTTGCTGGACTGTTGAGCAAGGGCTTATGGTAGGTGTTCTATGATTGACAAGGCGAACAGTGAGCAAAACAGTCAAGTATGTCCCATCTTTTGGTGGGGAGTTGACCCACCATTGCATTGGCAGATGTGAAGAGCAGGATGCTGTGCTCACTGCTGGCACACCATCCTTATTTCCTTGTCATGGGAAGGAAGGCTGCTGGTGATCACTGCTTAAGTCGGTCTAGCTGTGCTATGTTGACTTTTAAGTAAGGTTCTTCTAAGGAACCTATTCTAATGTTGAAGCAGAGGGTGCAGTGATGCTTTTTACTTGTTCTTGGTTAATGCAGCTAGTGTGTTTTACAAGTTCTGGTACTAATTTTTCTGAATCAGTGTTTTTCTCCTCCACTTTTCACTGTCACGTCTGTGTTCAGAAGTATGGATTATTCCTCTCAAAACTTAGCTATTTCAAATTCTGCTTTGAAGAATAGCATCACTGTTGGGTTTTTTTATTTGAGGTATGTGTCTCTGGACTGAATTAAGAGCTTGCAATGCAGATACAGCTATTGCTCTTTTACTAGTATAATTTTCCAATTTTCTTTGTGTTTTGCGGAAGCTTTAATATGATTTTCCAGAGGTTTTTATGCTTTAACATTAAAAACATTGTAGTATGTTGCACACATGCGCTTTGCCTTCCTGTGCTTGAAGCTTTCTGGACTTAACCCAACTTTTCTCCTCAATTTTTGTTGTTTTAGAGGTAACATGAACATGCTAATTTCATTTTTGTCACTAGCTGTGTCTTAAAGCAGGTCTTTGTACAGGCCTTTGTAGCACCTGTGGAGACTTCCCACTTGTCTTGAATTAACTTAAAGAATCATAGAATCAGCTAGGTTGGAGAAGACCTTTAAGATCATCAAGTCCAACCATTACTGCAGGACTGCGAGGACCACCACTAAACCATGTCACTGAGGGCCTCACCTAACAGTCTTTCTGCTCTTAATGCAGGCTGGGAGGACCTGACCCTCTGGACTACGTTAGCATGTACAGAAACCTGGGAAACCCAGCGCTGAATGTCCCTGAGCACTGGCACTACGTCAGCTTCGGGTTAAGTGACTTGTATGGAGACAACAGAGTACATGAGTAAGTGCCATTTAAGTTCTGTTGCTATGTGTTGTTTTTTGTGTTGCATTTTGGGGGAGTATAGATAAAACCCTGTCCTGCTGTTCACATTATTTGAACAGCTGGGTTTCTGCTTGGGAATATCCTTGCCCTGGTCTTGTAAGGAGTGGTGTATGCCTGTTCTTGGATGCAGAAGAATTACTGTGCTCCCTTCTGCAGGCTTTGAACGCAGTGTATTTCCTCATCAGTGTTAAGCTGAGTGTGTGTGTGTGTGTTTAAATTTCCTTTAGCTGGTTGGGATTTCTTTTTTAACTGACTGTCTTGTTCTGTTTTTAATTCCTGGGAGTCTGCTATGGTCATACGCTTAAATCCTGACCCCTCCCTGTGCGTGTTAAATGCCTTCCTCTGGAAAACTGCTGTAAGGGCATTTTTCCTCTTGCTGGCACAGCAGTGTTAACTGTCACTGGACTGCCACCCCAGTGGCTGCTGTGTGAAGTGTCAATTTGTGTTCAGAAGCATAAAATTCTAATTGTTTAACTGTCTTTTCTTCAGTAATTAAATTATTTTCTTAGCTTGTTGGTGTGCATGGTCTTTAGCAGGCACTTACCAGGCAAGCAGCATGATCTAACCTTATTCTTGTTTTTATTTTACTGACCTTGCTCTTTAACTGAAGCTAAACTGAGTAGAAATGGCCAGGCTGTCATGATCTTGGGGCTGTGAACATGACCTTTTAAACCAGCCAGAAATGGCAGAAGGTTTCTGCTGTTACTGTTTAGTGAAACTGTCTTTATGCTGTAAATGTCCTCAATGAATGGTGCAGCAAAGGTCCCAGTTTGTTCACCCACACTTTGCTGCTTTTATTTGTCTTGGTTAAAATTCAGCCACCACTCTTTTTCACCCAGGTGCTTCTCTTGCAACAGCCGCAGTCAGGCAGTTTCTTTCACCTTACCCATGTTCTCAAGGCAGTTTGTTCTGTTTTTTTTCTCCTCATGTTTGTGATTACAGAACTGTTTTTCAGAAGCAAGTCTTTTAAAACTGACTTTATACAGGACCCTAGTGTCACAGAGATCTGCCTGGGGCATGTAACCAACACATCTGCTAACAACAAACCCCAGTCACTAGTTGCTGGGGCAGTGGAAAGGTAGGGCAAGTGAAAGAAATGAAGCTAAATATTCCTTCCCTTGCTTCCACAAGGGACCCTACCATGGACATGTTTTCAACTGAAAATCTGAGGTTGTCAATACTAGGTGACCTGTGTTTGCCCACTTGCTTTGATGTGACTTTGAACGGAGTAAGTTCTGTGCTGTCCTCTCTTTGGTGACTTGGCAGGCTGAGCTTTTCCCATGATGAGTCTCTTTTCTTTACTTGGACTCTTTCCTGATGTTTTTGGTTTTTTTTTGTGAGAGCAGGGAGTGGATATGAATGTTTGAGCTGAAGACATGAAGGGTGACGTGTTTTTATGACTGAAGAAGCAAAATATGTAAGGACACAGCCTCCTTAGCCCTGGTACATGCTTTGGCTTCTCACTTTCAAAACCTGTCTGCTTAATAAAAACCTGTTATTCTTCTGTAGTGAAAGCTTGGGGGTGGAGGAGTGAAAGTATCACACAGGTGGAATGTCACAACTTGAAATAACTTCCTGGCATGAGAACTCCTAATTCTTCATATTGACATATGGTTTGATGTGGAAATTTGGATTGAGATAGTGGAATATTTGCATGCCTTTTGCTGGTTGCAGGGCACAGGAATTAAACCCCCAACTCAGACACAGGCTGCAGGTGATTTCTAAGGACTGCTGAGTGAAGCAGGAGCAAAGTCTGCACCACGCTCTGGGAGGTCTGCAGTCCCTCAATGCCCTGTGTTGCCCTCCCTGGGAGGAGGCTTAGAGAGAGCTGATGTGCCTTGGCTGGACGTTGTAAGCAGATAGTGAACCCGCACTGCTGTGCTGCTTTGGGGATGTTGGCTGCAGTCTCTTGAGCACAGGCCTGCTTGATCCATCAAAGTGGTCTCTATGCCTTGAGCACCTGTGTATGTTTCCCTTCTCTCTGTGGCTGGAACTGTGTCCCCAGCTCCACAGTGGGGTGTCCCTGTGTCACTCACTCTGAGGTGTTCAGCTGTCTGCAGTCTGTCACCTTTATTTTGGCCTCATTTTTGGAGCTACAAAACTTAATATTACATGTGCTGTCAAGAAAGCTGGCTCTGCCTTTACAGTAAAAAGTCTTAATACACAATTATGCATGTGGTAAAACCATCAAAACCTACACATCCCTTAAACACTGAACCTGAAGTTATCACCTGGTAGATGAGCACTGTAGGCAGGTGGAGAGAAGATTTTCAAAGGAGCTGAGAACTCACCAGCAATTCTTGCCCCTAACAGCAGCTGCTTTTTGCTAACTACTCTTGAAACACCACTGCCACGCGAACTGCACATCACCAGACCAGCAGTGGGTGCACGCTGGAGGAACATAGTGGTTTTCGTATGTGTTGAAAGACTCATGTTCTACAGCAGGGAATTTAATACAGCCTTTGTTTAAGAAAATGGGTATCAGTCTCTGTTGCCTAAAGGACCTTGTGATTCCTCTGTCCCACGTAAAGCATGCTGTGGGATGGTTGGCAGGAGCACAGGGTGACAGGGGAGTTGCTTAAATCTTTGGAAGACTTCCTTTGAAGCTGGTGTGGCACTGAACCCTGCCCGACTGTCCCTAGCCTATGGACATAGAAGTTAGTTTGTGGTTTTTTGGTTTCCCAGCTCTCTCTGCAGAGAGTAAAGAGCTGGATCTGGTTGTGATGGTCAGCAAGGTCCCTGCAACAGGGATATGCTTCCGTGACCTTGCTTTAGAAAGGTAAAGGTAGTACACTGCCAAAGGTCTTTTTAATTTCCCAGCTTGACTTTGGTTAATTTCTTGTGGACCTTTTCCAGTAGCAGTATGATCTAGACCAATTACAATGCAGTATTAAATGAAAAGCACTTTTTGATTCTTTTTTGAGCAAACTAACGCTGAATTGGAGGCCCCTGTATTTTTATTTATAATGGAATAGCAAACAGATGTAGCGAGTAACGTGAAAATGTTGCCTTTAATTTATATTTTTTAATAAGAACCTGAAAAGTCTGAAGCGGGGCTCTCCCAGTGCCTCCTTGTTGACAGATTTATTTTCAGTTAAAGCAGCACTGTTTCCTGCTCTGCTTAAATATCAGCTATGCTCTGCTTTACAGAACTGCTCTGCCTTTAAGAGTCCACAGAATAAAATGGAAGAAATCTAAGAATTTCAAATGGGGAAACCTTTTTCATTTAAAACCACTCAGTGTTTCATGGTATAATGGCAACCATGACACCAGCTGTGCTGGGCTGATGGCGCTAAACATCCTGATCCATGACGTCATGACAGTGTTAGGGAACCACAGGCCTTTCAGTGGGGTTTCATGCCAAGCTGCTTACATGGAAATAAGTCTCTCCAGTTGAGCATGTTGCACAATTTCAGTGGCAGCAGAAATCCTTCTGGGGCGTTTCTGCAAGTTACGCTCCATTTTTAACTTTTTCTGTCTCCTTTAAAATCAAAATCAATGTGTAACTCTTGAATCTGTTCAGCAGGGTTGGAGTAGAGCCATTTTTTATTTTCACTGTTCTTGCTTTCTGAAGAGATTCTGCTCTGCAGTGCTGAGTGCACGTGTAGCAGGTGAGCACACAGGCTGGTGTGGCTGGTACAGATGTGGGAGAGGAAACAGGTCCTGCACCCTTCTCCAGCCCTTGTTGGCAGCTGCTGCCCCACCGCAGTGTCAGCAGCAAGGAACGTGTCCCATGTGTCTGCACAGAGCACAGTGCCTCAGCTGGCAATCACAGATCCATGCTCCAGTGCCACACCGTTGGGAGGACTAAGGCACAGGCACCTGATCCTTCCTGCAGTTTCCAGGCATGCTGGTGACTTCTGCCTACATGCAGAATGGGTGCCTGAGGGATGCAGTGTCAGCAAGCATTGCTGAACTGTGATTCCATCAGTGGTGATGCCAGCTTCAGCTATTGCGGTGCCACGGTGTGCTGCAACCCTGGATTGTGCTGGCTCAGGTCTTTGTAGGGCTGTTCAGAGAGCAAGGAAGTGGTGTGTGTTTTCATCAGACTGACTCCAATCATTTGCTGTAAGGCCAAGGCTGAATTCCCATCAACTGTTCCTGTAATTTGAGTGCTCACTCTTTCTGTTAACAGTTTTAAAAGTGTGTGGAAGATGACAGCCACGATGTGATAGAGTTCCTGAAAACCTTGAATGGTCTTATTTATATTCAAATTGCAAGGTTGTAATTCACAGCCACAATAGAAAGCAATGCTTAAATTATGGCTAGGTTGAGAGATAAGATTTGTGTTTGTGGCCTTCCCACATCCTGAGAAGAAACGTGCCAACTGTGTTTTGATGTTTAGCTTTTTATGCAAATTCCAATAATTGGGTTTCCTGATCTACACAAACTTCATATTGACAAGAGGGGTGGGTTTTGTTTTCCCTTTTTTTACCCTGGCAGCTAGCCAGGAGCTGGAGCAGCAGCATCCCATTTGCATAAACCCAAGGAGATTACAGCTGCCTTCATCTCTAATACAGATGCAGGGTACCACCCGCGGAGACAACAGGTTCCAACTTGCAGTGTTTCTTTTGATTTGCACTACTTTCCATTGGGATCAGGAGGGAGCAGTGCATGCCGGGATAACGTGTTGTCTCTGTGGGTGGTGCCTCCCTATTAAAGGTGAGGGTAAGCATGAGCCTTTCAAGGTCTCCAGTCCAGCTTGTGTTCTACTTGCTTGTATAGATCCTCTGAATGACCTTAACTTGTAAAAGGGCAAGGATGCTTGTTAGAGCTGGGAGGAAGAAAAAGGAGCACAAAACTGGATCAGGTAACAAATGCAAGGCTTGCAGAGGGGTGGATGTTTTCTGGAAGGCTTTTTGCAAGTATGAAAGGAGTTTGAAAAGAGTATTTAGAAAATAGCCTGAAAGTTGGAACGAGTGCTCTCTTTTAAGTGCGTGCTGGCTTCTTTGAGTGTG